GCAGATTTGCTTTGAAGCTACAACAGTTCGTATTTGACAACAAGAGATAATGGCGTTTTGTGGTGCTGATAGTATCGATACTGAGCATGTCCGACATTTAAAGAAAATGAGAGCCAATGCAAAACGAGAGCTGACGAAAATTCTGAATCGTGTTGCTGATTGCTTGACTACTGAACAAACTGTAGTAGATGTGCCAAAGCCAGGCTCAACGAAACTTTCGAACATTTCAAAGTGGCATGTCAAGAATACAAACCTGTAATGGTTGACGAAAATGATATTGAAGAATGCCTTGCGTACACACACGAAGCTGAAAGACGATATTATGATATCAAGGGAAGAGTATCGTTGTTGACACAACCCCTTTCCATAACAACAGAGATGCTGAAGGCTGAAATCAGTCCTGAAGACTCGGTGAGCGAAATTATTTCTCATTCTTGCGTCACTTCAATGTGTTCTAAGAACTGAAAGAAATCGAGCAGATCTCCTCTTCAGGATCTGCTCCAATGCTGTAACATTGTTGAAGAATGCTGTAACAAAGGCATCTTTGCTTGCAGAGGCGTCAAGACTTGAAGAGTGTCAAAACATTGCTCATGAAGAATTACGATTAAATCAAAGAAAGAAGAGGCTGGCGCTGGACATGAAACTTGCGAAAATCGAGGCTGAGGAAAAAATTTACACAGGTTTCGCCATGGCAACCAGATCACAAGACGAGGCGTATGGTCAATTACCAAGGGACGTGGGATCTAAGAACACATGGCATCCCACTACCTGCACCTGGCCAGAGTTTTCTTCCAACCAAAAATAGTTTTGGGCAAAATCTCCAAATTAGATCGTGCAAAGATTGATTCGGGTTCTGAGTGGAACCTTACTTGCACCTTTCCAACAAACCATCATCTGTAAGGCGCAGGAATACTGGCACAAGCTTTTTGCCAACATTAACAGTAATTGTTTCATGTTCCTTGTGCGGGCCTGGAATGTCTCCTTTGGCTTCTGCCCTGTTCCAAAAACACCACAAATGTTCTCCAGAGGGGCAACGGTGTTGCTTTGGATTACTGCCAGTTGGTGTTAAGTGAAACAGGATGACAAAAATTATCTTATTCATAAGTGTAATGTCCTTATTTGCCATTCCATAATAGTTTTGAATTTTCAAAATCTTTTCCTTTGTTAATTTGCCCTTGCCAGTTATTGATTGCTTTTGTGATTTGCATTCTTGAACCAGGTTATTTAGCGCTGTTGCCATTCGCTTGGACACATGGTTGATACACTCTTCTTTGCTAATTTCAATGTCTTTTCCATAGACATCCATTTCTTTCAACCGATCAAATGACTTACTGTCACCATCTGACAGCATTGTAGTGTCATTGAAACATCTCAATTGATATTACATTTTTCTGCATGATTTTCTTGCCATTCGGACTGAGTGTGTTTGATCATTTTTTTCATTTGAGACATTGATGATAAAAGTTTGCTAAAACTTCAGAGTCAATTGGCAGGCCTGTCAAAGTTTCAATGACAACTGCAGCACCATTATGAGAAAAGTGACCTCTCTTTTGCCATGTGCCATCCTATGAGACTGCAGTGTCGAGAATGCCATCTTTATCAGGCACCATTCCATTTTTTGGTGTAAAACATTTGCCGAAATTGTTGAAACCTCGTTAAAAATTTCTTTACTGCCAGTGACTATTTTTTCTTTCACACTTTGATAAGCCAATTTGCTCGGAAAGTTAGGTAGAGTCATCTTTGTAGACCAGTCTTTGATGGCATTGAATCCACAAACAATCACCATGAATGCAAAAACAGCTCTTGCGTTTACCTCATAAGACTCATTAGATGATTGTGAATCACTGACTTTTTCACTGAGGTGTTCTTCTTTAACGACGTTTTCACACGCTTCACAGTAAACATAGCCCTTGGCACAGAATCCTTCATATTTGTTATTGTGGATTTTGAAAACGATTCTGGCTTCCTAACAAGAAGGGCAACATGCAATGCCCGCTAAAAGTAGTTGGAACACCAAGATTGTACTCGTAATAAATGTATATTTTTCAGTTCATTTCCCTTATATGGGGGGGAGGGGAGAGGTTTAGTAGGAAAGATGATTGAACTGTTCCAACACCTTTGGCAGGCATTGTAGGTTGGCGATCAACTTATTTAGAGATGTTGTATGTACAAAAATAAGACATCCATCTCTGGCAACTGGATTTGCCTGGCTTGCCACATTAAGATGAAGATTGAAATAGTCATGTTTCCTTGCGCTTGTCGAAGGGCTTCTTTCTTTGCTGTACTCACAGTCTTTGCTTGCATTACTAACGACCAAAGAACTTGAAAATTGGCAATACAAAATCAACACACAGCAGGGCAAAGTGACTTTTGTGAAGTTATCACCTGATTGCAACTGCCAATAAGAGCTCAAGGATCAATGAATGAGCCAATCACCTGAAAGAGTGTCGGCCTCGTAATCATTGAAAGATTACGAGGTAAAAAGAAGCAAATATTTAAGAATGTCTTACATGAAGTAATAAATAACGCAGTATTTTCAGTAAGAATAGGAGACGACCTTTCAGATGATATGCAGCATGTCAAGGAAGAATTGCTTGCCGTCCAGGAATTTACACACGATTTGCTGCAAAATATTACCTAAATTTCAAAACCATAACCTACCTAGGTGTACAAAAAATAGAAATTCATCCCTAAAGAAGGGCAGTAACCCTTGTTTGCATGGATTTTTCTGAATCTACAACAGTATTTTACCTTCTCTTGACGAAAACATTTTTTTAGCATAATTGATCAAAATTTATGATTTCTGGTCTAGTCCCCTACCTTAAGTCAGAAATATTCGATATTTCTTTTAGCCACTTTTTGTAATAAATGTCCGACTTCCCTGAAATAATAAATTAAACGTAATTATTAAATGGCAATAAGCTTTGTTAATTTTCATTTTACTTATAGCTTTTTGCACATAGAAACTGTAAAATATTTATTCTAAACAACTTAGAACCAATCTAGATGTCTAATTGTACTCTTTATTAGCATAAATTTGTATTATAGAAATCAAATTTATCATGTTCGCTTTAACTCCAGAAGCCATTATTTATGACAATTCATGTTTGTTGCTAACATACTGCTTACACAAGACCCAATTTTCTCTAAAATACAACTTTTGTTGTAGAACTGGAAAACCTTATAGGTTTGCTTCTTTTAGAGATATTCTACAATAAGCAGTGCTTAGGAAAGGGGGGGGGGGGTCAAGGGGTCACTGACCTAGGGGCCAAAAATAGTATCTCAATTAAAAAATATTTATAAGAAATAATCCAGCCTCTCCATTACTACAAGCTGTCATTAATTGAGACCATAATACGAAAGTCTATGAATAAAGTAAGGTAGAAGCCAGAGTGTCATCTTTCATTACCTGAGTGTCAAAAATATTTTTGTTTTTAATTTTTCATCTTGTGGGCTTGGGCTAAAGAAGTTGAAAAGCATCTGACTGTTACCAAAAAATGTGATTGCAACAGGGCAACATACAACAATATGTTTGTCATACAGATTTACACTATTGTTAGGCTTATTGTAATTTGCGAAATTTCGTCTTTTATAGCCGCCATAAAATCCGCCTTTTATAGCTGAAATCGAAGCATAAACCAATTGAAAGTGATATATAAACTTTGCATTCCTTGTATCATAAGAACGCATATTTATTGCATTAAAGCGACATGTTTCTTCTCATTCTCTAGTGGTAGAAGCCATGCTCCGAGCCTGTCCCAAAGAAGACGGGGGTTAAGTGCATGGTGTCTGGTTAGCAAGACAGAACGTCAATGCCGCTGTGACTGCAACAGAGGAGACAAAGTGTAATGAACAATTAGGCTGTCATTTGCAAATCCAACCTTTCAATCATTCCAAATTTGTCAACAAAGTATTCACGAGAGGTCTGTCCAAAATATATTTTTGCAGTGGAAAACAGCTTACGTCATAATGTATGTTTTTTAGTTAGAATTAGGATCCAAAAGATTAGCAAAATCCTCGCTTTAAACTGCGTCTTAAAAAATTAGTAATTTGTGAAATTTCGCAAAATACAGTTTTTTCACAACTACTAAAACGGGGTGGTATCAACATAAATCACGTCGGTAGGGTATGATGTCTCTAGAAAATGCAGGAACAAGGCGCCATTGCCATTAACAATGTATGCTCATGTGCTTTCTACAAATAGAAATGCAGCTCGTGTGCAATGAACTGCACATGCGGAATTGTCGTCCTGTATCGTCATTGATTCTTAACATTCCTCTCCAAAAGTATAGATGTCAACGTAAGATGCAGCTCTTCTTTAGGCAGTAGAATTTTCTAACCATCTGACTTGATATTGTCATCCTGAGAAATTTGCCATCTTGATCCTTTACTGGACGCTCGTATCTCTCCTTGTGTACGATAACCATGTCCCCTTCAGGATAAACAGGGTTTTCTTTGCCAAAGGCAATCTTGCATGATATGCATGCTTTTGCTCTATCGCATTGCTTATCTTTTAGAAAACGTATATCAAACTTCTCCGTGTTGTGGAAATACTCTGGAATCTGTAAAGGTCAAATCTGGCCATTTTTGAATATCTGCCACTTTAAAGTATTTACATTTTAATGGTGATTATAGTTTTTGTCATTGGGAAACACAACGTATGATTTGGGGGGTTTAAAGTCGTCTACTCCTACCTGAAAACCGCAAGGCGAACGAGACCTGTAACTAGGTAAGTTGTGACGTAAACTGAGTCATAATATGCCTGAACAAAGGAACAGTAAAGTCATTTGTACTTGACGACCCGCTGATCGACGTACTCTCGAAAATTTGTTTCATCTCACTTCAAAATCGGGAAAGCATGTCGGATATCAGCGATTCTTCAGAAACTTACGATGATCAAGATCTTAGTGACACATCTCAATTCGAGCTTGATGTGGAAGACTAGGATGATATAGCCCAAGGCGTAGAGCAAAGACTAGGCCAAGCAACTGGCGGTAACGATGCCGATTTCGAGGGTCCCTGTATGGGTGAACCATTAGCAGATGAGCTTCGAAACTATACCTGACAGCGCAGAGAGGACGAAGCCAGACAAAGAATACTTACTAGCCATCTGGATGGAACGGAGCCGTTTAATACCTGGTAGGTTGTTCAGTGTTTTGTGATTAGGCCAAAGGCCCTTCGCCTACTAGGCCCCTCTTGCCGACGCTGCCTAGAAGTATTTCACAACAGGATTTTATAACTGATTTGCAATTGTAAAATTTCCCTTTCTGAATACTAAAAGCAATATTAAATTATTACTTTATTTTGAGCATGATTTCAAGCTATTAGATCAATGAAAACAAGCTAAAACAAACATCTCAATTTCCTTTTACATAATCTATAAACGCCAAAAACAGCCAATCTTGCTAAATTAATCTTATAAAACAGACTGCATGCCTCATAAACTCTCTAGATAATTCTTTTTTATTTTATATTTTTCTATTGGCATTTTTATAGAATTTTTTTGGCTACATTTTAACAATTCAATTCGATCTTTCCTTTTTTATTTGGAATTCGTCATCCAAGCACCCAGTTGTTTGTAGTATCGCTGTATTTGATTGTTTGTTTAAGCTTTGTTGAATTATTTATATTACCAATCTATCACTGAATAGTTTATATTTACGTTATGGTTTTTGGCATGGTTACATCCTTTTTTATGTCAAGAAACTAAGGTCTAATTGAGTACTCCAGTTTCTTGACAGATTAAAAAATTCAATTACCCACTGTAGTAAGGCAACCATTCAGCTCTAGATGACTTGAGGTTGAGACATTTATTACATGTATTTTCTTGCATGAAGGAAAACAACAGTGATAAGTTTGATTGGATTTGAATCCGATAAAATCATCTCATTTAATAAATGGATAGAACTTTAACACATCTTTGCATAACTTTATTTTGGGACTCATTTCTAGGTGCAGATGCGGTCAATGTGACATTGCACTTCTTGAAAATGCCAAAGAATGCAAGTGTTGCAAAGAAATTGAGGAATGTGTTGCGGCAGTACATGGAGAACGGGTCCTAGAAGAGCTTGGGAAGCCTCCTGAATGCGTCATTGGTCATCCAAGATTTGAACCAACTTGCCTGAATCAATGGACAATAGAGTTGCTGGCTGACCAGTATAAAACAACTCAAAAAACACACTACCGAAATCTAGGATCAGAAAAAATGTTTTTAGTCAATTTCTTTTTCTCTATTTGAGGTACTAATATAAATTAGCAGTTAAATGCATCAAATTTAGAAATTAGGTACTTTAGTGTGCTTAGAAGTGAAAGGCTTTTTATGAATTTTAAAAAGATATGAACACTCCATCAATAGCCAAACATGCGAGAATATATTTGTCAACAAACGCCTTTACAGCTATGCCTGTATGACATGAAGCACTTTATGTCGGACTGGTAAAACATCAATTTTCATTATTTGTCAAGATATATAATATAAATATCAAAGTTTTGAAATTAAAAATGTATCAAATTTCTAACAAAGAATTTATTTTCACTAGGGAAAACTTTGTTCTTCCATCCTTTTTGAAAACAGAAAGAAACTTTATTGGCACAACTTATCAGTTGTTATGGCACTGCATGCCAATGATTCATTTCTTATTTTTCTTAATCTTTCCTCCTTGTTAGCAGTTATTTTTTTTAGATTTTTGCGAGCTGTTGCCTATAGAGCTTTTACAAGGCTGATTCATGGAAAGTTGGGGAAAAAGCGTGTGCCACTGCCTGCATGCGCTTATAATGCAATCAGAGGAAAATTTAATTTAGGAAATGAGAGAGCAACAGGATATGCAGAACGTGATGAAAACGTGTTACAGTAGACTGGACTATCGCTAGTAAGGGTGTCAAAGGAGGAGTTGGGCTACTTAGACCCTATTTATGGTAATTATAATAAATCTGATTGCTCTAAATTTTTTGGACAGTCTTGTAGTAATTTGTGTCCTTTCATCGGTCTTTTGCAAGCTGTGCAATGAGGTGCTTTCTTTTTTAGAGGTTCCACAACATCAGCTGAACCTAAAATGTCAAAAAAGTGCATTAAGTACACTATAGTTGGATATATTTCATTTGAACTATATGCAAATTGAAACATATGATTTGAAACATATGAAACACTTGAACTGTATGCAAAATGATCACATAAAATGTTTGCCAGCAGTTACATTTGTTTTGCATTGCACCTATTTTTACATACTGTTCAGGCAATCACTTCCAATAATTCTTTCAATATATGTGATTATATGGGCATTGACATAGTTTTCAACATTGTGCATTATGAACCTTTTCCATTTTACCTGAAGATGTTGCAGGCACTTCTTGTGTAACCATTCGCTTTCGCTGCTCCTGTTTTTCTATTGCCGCTTTCATATTTTCTTTGTCAAAACCTGCACAAAGCGGGGGTGGTGTAGCCTCTTTCAGTTTTTTCATGGCTACAGTCAACAGTCCTTCATTAATGCTTTTCATTGTTGTGGCAAAAAGCTCCTCCACATATTTTGATATAAAATATGAGAGGATAGTTTAAATAGTTTATATGAGAGAGAGGACAATAAATGCAAAATCAAGAACATTCTTTTTAAAATTTTTCGTCTGAATGAAATACCCTAAAGCTGAGTCCACATAACTGTGCAGGATGTATTTTTTTCCTTAAAAAATTATAATAAATCAAGTATTTTAAGTTATGTTAGAATTTAGTCTATGAGAAACTTTTATTAACTAATTTACAGAATGCTTCCTTGCCCTGAACATTGTACACTTGATCAACAGTAATAAAAAGAAAATAATGCAGGGTACTTTATACAAATAATGCAAACCTTTCCTTAGCCATTTGCGTTGTGAAATATTTTCTCAATGTGCACATTTATTAAAAAGAGGATTTTCAAGATCTTTATGCTGATCGATGATGTGCCCAAGAAAGGACCTAAGTTTTGCAAGAATTACGTTGCCATCTCCACTTGGTGTTGTCGTTGCACTCCAATGCAAATGGTGCACACATGGTTGAATCCACTCTGCCAATACTTCGCAACCCTTTAGCTTTGATATCCTTGTCAAAATTTTACGAACCTCTAAAGAAAAGCAGATGAAATCAATGAAAAGAATTGCTAAAGATGAAGCTTGCATACATTACAGTGGCGGCTTGCGGCGGTACTGGTGGTACCAGTCTAGTACCATTTTATTTTGAAAGCTTGAATTTTTTATATGGCTTTGTTTTGTTAATTTACAAAAATGCAAACATACTGAATTAATTGTGAAAACAATAGAAAGAGCGGCAGAGTTCAACACAGCCGATATCTGACCGTCTACCTTCCCTCACTTATCTCGTTGAATGACCTGTCTCTGCGCTGTGTTGACTGTAGGCTACGGTACTAGACCTCATTTATCCAGTACTGCGGAACTGTCCCATTGTATTTGTCGACACATCATGACGTAAAACTGTTTGTCTTTCGGTAATCCAACAATGGAAAATTCGTTCGCAGTACTAGATTCCTCTTTCTAGTAGTATTGGGTGGCCGCCAAAATATGTCATTCCGTTCAAGATTATGAAAGCAACCCCGCAGTCTTTTCAGCAGTTTCAAATGACGTCAAACAAACTGAGAGGTATTCAAAGGCATCTGGTCTATTTTCTACTTCTGGGTATGACAGTGGGGTTATCCCAGTGACTAATTTAACAGCCCGTACAATAATGCCTTATTTGGTTACTATGATGCAATTATCTTCTCTATCCAAAATGACGTAGGTTGGATGAATTTTGTATATATGGTTTATTGGGCTTTTCATTCATAATGCGAATTTTCTCGTAACCAGAGCAGTCAAGTTGTATTGATCTTGATGAAAATGAATCGAATCGCAGGGATTGACTACCTTTTCGGAGTTTCGCGTATTTTTGCGCTCTCTTCTGCCCAGGGCCGATTAATTCACGAGCAACGTCTTGGTTTGAAGAAAGATGGGAGACCTTGTCCCAAAATTGAAATTAAAAACCGTGACAGTGAGACCGTTTACAATAATTTTTTATGGATGTGTGGCGATGCAGAAAAGAACACTTATTTTTGCTGGCCTTGTTTGGTCATGGGTGATTTGTCCAAGGTATGGGTACATTTCATTTATTTTCTAAATGCTTTTTATAATAGAGGAACATGAAGCAATTTACAACTGTCTACTTTCCAGGATACATTCTTAGTGTAAATGGAGTCATCAAGGTTGTTCTATATGATACTATATTGTTTGATAATAGATGATAAAAACGTCTAGAAACCCGCATCACTAGATTCTCCTTTCTAGTACTTCCGTGAAGAGAGCGGCCACCCACTAGTGGGGCTCGGTGCCGCAAGAGAATAACTTCCCATATTATCAACGTGCCTCTCCTTTATGGCCTTTGACAGCAACCGACAAAACACTGCATTTTCAAACAAGTGCTGCCTGCCCTAAGCGTAATCATAAACTTTTCATAAACAAAAAGTTGGTATGATACTACAGTTTAAACTCTCATAGCTCTCATTGGGGGCAAACGTTTTTTCAGTGACTGGAGGCTCGATAATCAATTGATTGAAACAAAAAATCTACAAACTATAAAACTGAGCTATCAATCAGGGTCTTGTTTTCGGCTGAAAATTCCGGGACAGGATTATGCAATTTTCCGGCACAAGTATGGCGATTGAAGACATCATGTTTTTAGAATTTTATTCCAGTACAGGGTGTTTTAATAAATTTAATAAGGACAATTTAATAAAGTTTATTACAGAATTTTCATTGACCTACGATCCCTTTTTTTCTAGATGAAAGCAACATCTTTTGCACGAAAAAGTGGTTTTCAGTCTTCTGGAGACAACCTTTGGAATCTTTCGAAGCGCCATGAGAAAACTAAAATGCACATCATCAACCACACTGCCTACCAACTTTTAGGAAATGTTGACGTTTCTTGTGCATTGGATGAAGCAAGACGTAGACAGGTACAGCAACACAACAAAAATGCGTCAAGATATTCAAGAATACTAAAGTACCACATTTCTTTAGCTGTGTATCTCTCAGCACAAGGCCTTGCATTTCGAGCACATGACGAAACAAAGTTATCATCCAATAGAGGAAACTTCATCGAGCTGCTTGACCTCATCGCCAATTATTGCAGTGATTTGCGAGATTTTCTTAACAAAGAAAAGATCACGTATACGTCACACGAGCCACAGAATGATTTGATAGAGTGCGTGTTCCAAGAGGTAAAAGAGGAAATTCAGCGGAGAATCAACAATTCCCAATTTTTGGCTGTCATGATGGATGAACCCAGCGATGTTAGCAGGGTGGAGCAGTCAGCTGTTTCAGTACGCCTAATCAACGAAGGAGAGGTAGAGGAACACCTTTTGGGAATAATTGAATGTTCCAAAGATACAACTGCAAATACATTGTCATCGATTCTTCTCAAGAAATTGGAAGAATATAAGATCACGCCACAAAA